TTTGACCTTTCCCATGAACAGAAAGTAATGTCTTTAAAGAAGCCTACAAAATAATACCGTTTCCTTTAACATAGCCATCATATTCCAGTTTAAACTTTATTTAAATCCAAAAGTTGATAGGATGCTCCCAGATGAGATTGCCATTGAAGCTTTCTCAGACATTGATCTGACTTCAATAGCAATATTTTCTATTTCTTCCTTGCTCCTAAGAAGCCCACAGTGTTGGCATATGAATCCTTTATTATCTGCATTCAAGAGGGAGAAATATGAAATGATTTTGGTGTTATAACAATCCCAAAGACATAAGAAAGATAGATACTTTCTCAGTTATGGAAGATGTACCAGAGTCATGAAGAAGAAAACCATTGCATCTTCTATCCTTGCATCTATAACCTTCTAGAATTGCGCTTTCTTCAATATCATCAACTTGACCCTTAACCATGCAACTTGCTATGTTCAGGGACCAGAAAAACCAAGGAGCATTCTCCAATTATAAAAGCTAACATAGCCAAGAACAGGAGAAAACACCAAATTACCATTTTTAAGCAGCGGGAACAGGTGCAAGAGAAAAAATACTGTTCCCTAAGAGCCTTTTGCCGAGTTATAGTGCTTCCAGCCGTTTCTACATAACTGATTGACACCTTTGGAAGCCATTGACAAGACAAAATAAGACTTTCCTCAAAGTGCAAGGTGTTGATGGAAACAAACTATCAATTTGGTAAACTGAATTTCAATTTCACGTCTTTTTAACCAAACTGAATCGCCAGGATTTTCAAAGGCTTACCTCAGCACCTTTTGGTATATGCTGCACAGCTCGGACCACAGCCAATCTTCCCTCAAATACTAGAACAGAATTGGGTAAACAGCTAAAACACCGAGATAGATTAGGAGAGACAATGTGGAAAGGTACAATAATGGATATCTACAATTGTTACCTGTGATTTATAATAGAAATGACCGGATACAGTCCTGTTCCAAGGGGTCTCAGTTCACTGTCACAAATGGAATGTGCATTGCATGAAAGCTGCAGGATATTAAGACAATGACGAGTCAGCAAGAATCTTCTGGTAGATACCACCCGAGAGAAACAGCACCAAAGCGTGCCAAGTAGATTATGTGTGTGTGTGTGTGTGTGTGTGTGTGTGTGTGTGTGTAAGCATCTATTCCTTTATGCATATATTTCGCACTTGCAAACCCCCTCCACATTTAAAAGGTAAAACAAGCAGGACCTGAACTCGTGTTCTAGTAACTTCCAATTCAAGCATAAGTATAACCCAATAGGGGGAATTTTCTGTCCTTATTGTAGCATCTCGTGAACAAATAATTTTTTTCTGCTCATGACACCATATGCCTTTGTAATTGAGCATGAAAGTAGAATTAAATTAATTGATCTCTAAGGAGAACTTTTATTATGCACATATTGCAGTATGAAGCAAGTATTTGGCCTTTCTCTTGTGGAATACCTTAGAAAAGTTCTCTGCAATCTCTTTAATATCGATCTCTGACTCAGGCCACTGAAGTATCAAAGCTACCAGGTTAGCTATCTGGGCATACAATACCAGTTGCTTCTCCTCAAGATCAGGCATATCTTTGTAAGTAAATTGGTTAAGGACAAAATGATTAATTTCCAATATAAAAATCAAAGAAAGGAAAATCAGCATATGTTTATTAGGATACGAGACACCAAGGGTTCGATCAAATTGTAGTTGTCTGTGGCAGTAGTTGGGATGATCTAGCAGCAAAAGATCGTCTATTAAGAAAATATAAAGATAATGAAATATCACTAACAAAGAACGCCGAAAATATAATTCTAAATAGGAATCAATTCCTGAGCTCTGTGCACTTTCATACACACAGCTAAGCAGTCAGTTTTTATAGTGCATTTATCAATTTCTTCTATAGCTTGGAACGAACTCAATCACCATGATACATTCTAATCCTTTTTCTTAAAACTATGGATCCTAGAACTTCTTTATTTTTACGTGCCTTTAGATTAGGACACGTCAATTCTTGGATATATTAAGCCTATGATTGGTACAAATTCCTTAAAACATTTTCAACAACAAATTCTTCTAAGAAATAATTTTGCACGTGGGCCCATAACTTTTCCCTACTTTTTTTAACCATACATTCTAAAAAAATAAAAAAATTCACAAAATCTATTCCCAAAAAATCTACAACAAACAAGCCTACGGCTTAAGTCAGCTATTCTTTTACGTACATTTTACAATATTATGCATATAATGTATATCTGCTTACATTTGATATATGCCTATTCCAAGGCAGTTGAGCACTCCCCTATAAAGAAAAAATCACCCAGATGCACAAAAATTTAGAATCGTCTTGGTGTGCTAGAAATAATCACTTTAGAAAACAAGATCAGGAAAAATCTCACAAGGCGCTTATATGAAATATGAAGCATAGAAGTAGCAGTTAAAGCTTTACAGCAAAAAAAATGGGCAATAGTTTTGTTATCATAAAAGATAAAGGCTTTATTCAGAGGTGGAACCCAACTATTTTTCCTTTTCCAGAAGTTTCTTTATTTCAACATATTTATACATTGACTTGTCCATTGTTCTAGTAAAGGATACCGGGAGAAAATAAGATGCCTAAAGACTCTGAACTAAAGCCAGAAGCTTGAAACTAGAACTACAATAGAAATAAACTATCACCTTCTGTTGTTGTAACTTTCTTCGTAAATAAAGCTTCACCATCAAACGTATAGATGGAGTGATCGACTTCACCCTGTTCTTGTCTACTTTTGCCAAGGCTTTACATTCTACACTATGCAATTTCCAATCCAATTTCTGAACCGAACGAACATAATGCAATTTATGAGAAAGAAACACCAATAAATGGATTGAAACAACAGAGAAATGCCATTGAAATAGAGTAATAACTAGCTCATGAGAACTCCTTCAATGTTCAGAAAATGCCGTGAGGACTTATCTCCCCATTTTTTTTCTTTAGGTTGCTTTTGAGTTTTGAATAAACAATGCTGAAAATTTCACGAAATTTTATCAATGCATTTATACTAGAGTTCGATTGTGCATTTTTTGCTCAAAAAAAATATAAATAAATAATAAATAGATAAAAATGAGGCAAGATATCGTTAATGGTTTGTTTGTGGTTATTTTTTGTGGAATTTGCTTATTCAGTGCTCAACTACTGTAGGTTTACCTCGAAGACACAACCAAATAGCCAAAAGAACTTCCAAAAAAGTAAACAATTGCAGTTAAAGTACTGTAAGCATCGCCCACTCGTCATTCGACAAAATGCCTCAATGAATTATCTATCTTGAATTCACCTAATCGGAGAATACGTCGACGAAGGCATTGCTTGTTTTACTGATTCATTATAAAATTTCACCTGGCAAGTGCCTCCACAGTACCAAACAACATGGCAGCCGGAGCATTTCTTGAGTTTGCTTGATGAAAAACACCACTCGCATTTTGAGTTGGGCGATTCTTTATTCTTGTTTGGAACAGAAACATATGGATCTTCACTTAAAATCACTTCCCCTGTACGATCAAAAGGAAATCAAATTTTATATACTTCTCGAAATACTTAATGAAGAATCAAGAAAGCGTTGAAAAATTATAGAATTAACTCGAAGAACCTGGAAATAAGTCGCGAGTGGTAAAAAGGCAACGACCCTTCTCTGGGAGAGATGAAACTGTTAAATTTTTATCATTTAATGCCTTCTGCAGCTCCTCCATTAACACAGCTATTTCAGTATTGTACTGTGATTGTCACTTCTGGAATTCACCTATGAGAATTTTCGAGTCTCGCGCTTATATTCAGTTTAATAATGAAAATGACATAGATTTTGGATAAAATCTCAAACTAGCCCTTTCGAATGCCACTTTCAATAGTTCATGAAAATGGCCTCAATGCGAATAAGCGGTGTCAAATGTGTGGGCTGTCGGAGCCAGGGCGACCCGGACCATTAAAAACACTTAACAAAATTAGCCCGGCCCACTACGAATTGGGCCACCAGTTATGACTGGTTGGGATAACTTGATTTTTGAGAAAGTTACATTTAAGTTTTCCAATTCAAAAATCAAATATGCAGTTTATTTAACCAAAAATTAGGTATTAATTAAATTATTTATAATATTAGAAGATTTACCTACCCAAACTCCACTACAAACCCTAAATTATTTCACTCATTGTCTTTATATATCATAACCCATTTCTCTTCCACACTACTTTTCCATCATCCACCCCAAATCCATTTTGCCACAACCATTCACCCTTTCCCCCAACACCACCATCACATTGTGACATTGGAGGCTCGACCTCGCACAATTGTAACACTCCGTGCACAACTTTGAAGCTGCACAAGGTAGCGCTTCTACAAGCGGAGTTGAGGTGGCACTGTACCTCTATAGGTTCTTCGACGGAAAGGGACACCATTGAGGTTAGGAGTATGTTCAACCTAGCGAATCTTCTTTGTTCACAGCGAATCACTACTGCCTCTTCCGGCTCCTATATTGCATCTGAGATCTAAAAGTTAGATTAGTCCCATTGATGTGATCCAAGGAAGTCAACAAACTTAAAAGATCCAGCACATCTTGAAGAGGAATCAAAGATAAGATCAAAAGCTACAGAGGATCAAGGTAACCATGGAATGAGTTGTCTGAGATGTGGAGGCCAACAGCTCGAGTGCAACAAGCCAAATAATAACTTACGTATGGACATGAAGGCGGGATCAAGTTTGGTGAGTTGGATTCAAGCTTTTGAAGATATATGAAAAAAATGAGTAACGTAGATGAAAACGTGCATAAATTTTAGCTCAGGTGTCGAATTTTTGGACATCAATACGATACAAAAACGTCACGAAATTATGCACCTGAAAAAAGAGGAGTCATCATTAAAGCTCGCATAGCTTAAAAAGGGATGCGGTCGCATACTCTATTACCAAACCAAAATGGAGGTTGAACTTTTGTTCTATGCGACCACAAGCCATAGTACTATGGGACTACATAGTATAAAATTAACGCGAATTTTTCCAAATTTCACGCTATCTTATATTTCAGTTAAAACTCTAAATTTTGGTAATTTTTATAATCTTTAGGATTCCTTGTTTCATGTAGACTCGGGTTTTATCGAGTTTCCTGTATAAAGAACTCATTATTTCATTGTAAATACAACATTCATTATTATCAATTGAGAGATTATTTTGTAGGCAATATTTGCTTTCAATTCTTTGTTCTTCATTGAACAATTCCAAACTTATCAAGATTTGATTCTTATGTCGTTTAAACTTTTTGGGTGAGATTTTCAAGTCTTATGATCAAGAGGTGAACATATTATTGGTGATTGTTGGTTGCTTGGTTTAATATTTGTGTGTCAAACTCAAAACTTTGGTTTCTTGGGTTTGAAATCAAACTCATTTGGGTTTTGTAGCTTCAATTGCTACGTGGGTTGAATTAGTTGGTATCGGAGCTTAGGCTTCAAAAATCAGGTTATATCATTTTTTTTGGAGTCTTTGCTTTCACTTTTTTCTTCGTGTTCGTCGACCTTTTGAGTCTTTAATCCATAAAAGTTTCACCAAAATTTCAAAAGTTATTTTTGTACTCGATTAATATCCAAATCAATTTTCGTTTGTTTTGCTAGTTTCGTAGTTGAATTTTTCACTAAAAAAAATCGAAAAAAATCCGAAAATTACTAGCAATTTTTTTATTTCATATATTTTGATTGAAAAAAAAAATAGTCTATATCTCTATACATATATACTTTAGTCCTATCCAATCCAAAATTCAAGAACCACTTTTTAAAATTAAAAAAATGCCCATTCAAAAGTGTCCAATTCTTTTCTTTCTTTCTTGAGTGTTCTAAAGTTATAAATCTCACTCACATCCTAGTTTGAATTCTTCGAGAATAAGACTTGGTTGAGTCCTGACTCGTTCTTTGAAGCACTTAGATGAGATCATTGTGTGGAAAAGGGCAAGAGTGGTGAGACTAATAAAGGGAAAAGCCAATTTGAGTGATGCGTATATACGTGGTACAAATATTATTTTAGATTTAGAATGTCTAACAGAGACGACTCTGCATCAAGCAGGAACTCAAGTATGAAAGGAGGGGTAGAGATATTTGTTGGAGATGAAGTGGACGGAGTATGGGCAACATCAAAATGACAATTCTTTCAATTAAAGGAAGCAGTGATCTGGAGGCATACTTGGAGTAGGAGAAGAGGAGCGAACTAATATTTGATTACCATAACTACTCGAAGGAGAAGAAGGTAAAGATTGGGGTACTTGAGTTCACCGACTATGCTTTTACTTAGTGGGATCAAGTAGTGACAACTAGGAGGAGGAATTGCAAGAAGCCTATTAAAACATGGGATGAGTTTAAGGCTATCATAAGGAAGCGATATGTGCCTAGTTACTAATATAGGGATAGGAGAGATAGGCTTAAAAGGGAGTTTGGAGAAAATACTAAAGAATGTGATGGAGCTAAGTACCCAGTAGAAGGTAAAATGTCTATTGTGAAGCATGTTAGTAGTACACCACGTAGGTTGTTTGGTTTGGATTTTAAACTAGAAATATCAAAACTTCATGACATGGTTAATTTTCAAATTGATCATATGAAAGAACAAGAGAGAAAATAGTGAGGTGATTAATTGTGAGAAAGAGGAAAATAGAGAAAAGGCTAAAAGAAAAGTGGAGCTACAAGAGAGAAAAGAAAGAGTCTTCAGAGAAAAAAAGTCAAAAGTGAGCTTATACAACAAAGAGAGTGAAATTGAGAGGGTTCAGTTAGAACTAACAAACTCGTCCCTTGTTTGATTATTTTTGTCTTGCAGGATTTCGAAAACTTGGTCCATGAGAACAAGCCTTTTGGGATACCACATAATCCGGGCAATGTGCATCAATTTATATATGGAACTAACCAACCTCACCACAATTTGAATATTTCTTTATTAGAAGAGGTTGACTATGTGTTCCCTAAGGAGACGAAGGATTTTCAAAGGCAATAGAAGTAGTTCATATGCAGGGGGTTGAAAGGCAAAGGGGATATGAAAGAAAACATGAGATCCTGTGCAATGTCAACGCTATTAGTACTTAGGAAGGATGGGACATGGAGGATGTGCGATGACTTACCAACGTAAGGTATCATCATAGGTTAGATGATGGTCTAGCATGTATGAATAGTTTTTCACGTAAAGAATGTAATTTTAAACTTACAACTACGCCTAGATTGAATGATATGGTTGATGACTTGCATAAGTAATATGTTTTTGGTAAACTATATTACAAGAGTAATTGTGGAATGTATAAGTGGTTAGTTAGGTCATTTGAACTCACAAACCTATCTAATATATTCATGGGATTACATAATCATTTACTGTTTGCATTCATAGGAAAATTCTTACTAGTGTATTACAATTTAGTATATTGCAAGGGGCGATATATGAATGTTAAATTGAGAGGTTACATGTTATGTGATGAAATTCTAGTATGTTGAAAGAAATTAATCAAGCACGATAGGCAACTGGGGAGCTCCGTTGGTGATTTGAGGCATGAGTGTCTATATTTCAATCCTAAAATCCTTGACTGTTTGGGTTAGAATTTAGGGAATATGTTGGAAAGTAATTCGATATCTTCTACTATTTCTACTACACATTTTGATATGGTGACTAGTTTTAATCCTCAAACTTTGTTGGATTTAATTCCTGTAACTATTGGTGTAAGTGGTAGCTTAAGTGGAAAATAGGAGATTGTTCTTAAAGCATCTCGAACTTGCAAAAGGAAGAAGTCGAGATGTGTACTCTTTGATCTAGGTGATGGTGATTGATTGGGTGTACATACGAAAGAGGCGGATACGAACTCAAAGGTGGTCCAAATTATACCCTAGAGGAGATAGACCATTCCATGTTATTGCCATGATTGACAACAATGGCCACAACTTGGGTCTTCGAGGTAAGCATATTATAATTCTTATCATCGATGATTCTAATGTTGCATCGTTTGATGCAGGTACAAATTCGAGGTCGAATCCTTTCAAAAAGAGGGGGGATGATGTGATCCAAGGAAGGCAATAAACTTCCAAAGATCCAGCTCAACTTGAAAATGAATCAAAGACAAGATCAAGAGCTACGAAGAATCAAGGTGACCATGGAATGAGTTGTCTGAGATGCAAAGGCTAAGAGCTAGAGTGCAATAAGCCAAACAATAACTCACATGTTGGACATGAAGGAGGGATCAAGTTTGGCGTTGGATTCAAGCTTTAGAAGATATATGAAAAAATGGAGCAACGTGGATGAAAACGTGCATAACTTTCAGTTCAGGTGTCGAATTTTTGTCCATCAGTACAATTCGAAAATGTTACGAAATCTACACATGAAAAAAAAGAGGAGTCATCATTAAAGCTATGCGATCGCTTAGCTTAAAAATGGATGCGGTCGCATATCCTATTACCGAACTAAAACGGAGGTTGAGCTTTTGTTATATGCGACCGCAAGCCATAGTACTATGCGACCGCATAATATAAAATTGATGCGAATTTTTCCAAATTTCACAGGATCTTTTATTTCAGTTAAAAATCTAATTTTTTGTAATCTTTATGATTCTTTTTTCGTGTAGACTAGGGTTTTATCGGGTTTCCTATATAAAGGACTCGTTATTTCATTGTAAACACAACATTCGTTATTATCAATTGAGACATTATTTTGTGAGAAATATTTGCTTTCAATTCTTTATTCTTCATTGAACAATTTTGAGCTTATTAAGATTTGATTCTTGTGGCGTTCAAACTTTTCAGGTGAGATTTTTAATTTTAGTGATAAAGAGGTCAATATATTGTCGACGATTGTTGGTTGCTTGTTCAATA